GGAGAGGGGCTTGGGACAAGGGCAGGGAGGGAGAGGACAAGGGGGAAGGGATTAAAACTGGAAGAGGGAGATTGAGGTGAGACATGAGGAGGAAATAGTTTGGTGTGAGGGTGGTGAGAGCCTGGCCCAGGTTGCCCAGGGAAGCTGTGGCTGCCCCATCCCTGGCAGTGTTGAAGGGCAGGTTGGATGGGGCTTGGAGCAGCCTGGGCTGGTGGGAGGTGTCCCTGCCCGTGCAGGGGGGTTGGATCTAGATGATCTTTAAGCCCCTTCAGACCCAAACAGCCTGGGATTCTGTGATGCTGTGCTATGTTCCCACCATGTCCAAACACTGCAGAGCCTGCAGCTCCTGGGAGGAGCCAGTGCAAGGGCAGGTGTCCCACCTGGACGTGTCCTGTGCACGGGGTGGGCTGGCAGGGGGTGGGATTTTGCCTCCTGAGCTGGAGCTGCATGTTTGCTCCTCTCCCCTGGGCACACAGGGAAGCAATTCACATCTACCAGGGTCGGGGAAGAAGGTGCTGGGGACAATGGGAGAGTCTGGGTGGAACAGCACTGGGGCTTTCTCTGCAAAGCTGGGTCTTTTGTGGCTGTAGAAAGCACAGATGCAGAAAGGTCTCTTCATTTTATGCCTTTCCTGACTCCCAGAGTGTTGCTCTTTGTGGCAGGGAATTGGAGAGAAAAGATCTCTCTTTCTAAAAGACTCAGCTGCCCTGAGGGAGGGAGGGCTTTGAACACAACCAGCCCTTTCCCAGCTGCTGCAGGAGGATGGGTGCTCAGCCTTTTGCAACAAAGAGCACCATCAAGCACAAAGAAAACCCTCAGCAAGGGCAGAGCTGGGCTGGAAAGGCAGGGAGAAGAGATGGGGCCTGGTTTCACACAGCCTGGTTTCACCAGCTTAGGCTGGTTTGGAAGGATTCACCATGAACCTGTTGTTTGTGAGACAAGCTGAGACACTGGTCCCACCATTGGCCCTGCCCTGTGCAGGTGTTGTCTGACCTGCAGCTTCATCCTCCTGAAGTGTGGTTGGTTTTAGAGGAGTTAAAAAAGCCCCTGTGAAATCACAGCATCATAGAATGGTTTGGGTTGGGAGGAACTTTAAGGATTATCTGGTTCCAGCCCCTAATCCCAGTTCATAGAATCATAGTTTGGGTTGGAAGGGACCTTCAAGATCATCTAGATCCATGGGCAGGGACACCTCCCACCAGGACAGGTTGCTCCAAGCCCCATCCAACCTGCCCTTCAACACTGCCAGGGATGGGGCAGCCACAGCTTCCCTGGGCAACCTGGGCCAGGCTCTCACCACCCTCACACCAAACAATTCCCTCCTCATGTCTAGTTTAAACCTCCCTCAGCTGCCTCCTCTTGTGTTTTCTGAGTGAGAAGCAGCACAAGCTGATTGATGGCATGAAAGGCAGCAGGTGTGGTGGATCCAAGATGGGCAGGACAGAGCAGCTGCTTTTCCTGCTGGGTTTTTGCCTCTGCCCTGTTGCTCAGCATTCCCAGCCCCCTCCAACTGTGTATTCCAGCATTCCCAGCCCCCTCCAACCTTGCTCTTTGCGGGCTGTGCCTGCCTTCTGGATGCAAGAGCATCCAGAGTTGGAACTGCCCAAATCCCAGCACCCAGGATGGTGTTTTCCCTGCCCAGCTGGAATGTCTCCAGAGAAGGAGCCTCCCCAGCCTCCCTGGGCAGCCTGTCCCAGGGCTCTGTCACTCTCACAGTGAAAAGGGTTCACCTCATGTTTAACTTGACCCTCCTGTGCTCCAGCCTGTGCCCATCTAGATGTGAAAAACACCTTGAATTCTGGCCCAAACAACCAGGTGATTCCTCCAAGAGTTGGACAGAGCTCCTAAGCCTGGCTCAGACTGGCTGGAAACCACAGCCCACCAGGTCTTTTTGGGATAATCAATAATTCCCCCAACTCATCCCTCACCAACACCTGACACCTTTCCCAGCAGCAGGAAGGCCCTCAGAGGGGCAGAGCTGGCAGCTGCAGCTCTCTGGGCACGGATGAAATCATTCCCAGTGTCTCAGCATGCTTCCTTTTCCTCAGACAAGGACAACTGGGTGCCTGCTGCAGATGTTGGCATTCCCAAACCCACGGATCCCAAGGGAATGGCCAGGATGCAGCAAGGAGCCCCTTGGCATCCTCCCTGCAGGTCTCATCCCCTCACACAACTTGCTCCCTCACACCAGGCAGGACTCAGCTCCTCACTGACTCCATTTCCAGCCGGTGTTTGGAGCCTCAGGGAGCAGTGGGAAGTCATCAAAAGCTCTCCCTGAGGAAGCCCAGAATTCCAGGCTCCCTTAGGAGAAGGAATTCCTGCAGAAACAGGTTGCACTGCCAACCCCTTGGGCTCGCACAGCCCCACACCGTGGTGGGAACACCTCCTTACCTGGGTTTGAAAAGCCCACCTGGCCCTACCTCCCCTCTTTCTGGAGGTTGGGGAGGGGGTGGTCCCAGGAGCAGGTTTTTGGGAACACACAGCCCAGAAAGAAGGGAGAAACAAACCCCAGCGCAGGGAACCGCTCCCTGGGGGTGCAGGAGCCTGGAGAGGAGGACACATCTCCCCAGGATCCCCGAGCCCAGGTTGGGCAAGTGGCAAGAAGCAGAGGGTTGTAACACCCCCAGTGAGGGCTGGGGGAGCTGGGAGCAGCATCTCCTGCCCAAGGGCTGGGCAGACTCACCGTGGTCTCGTCCTCGTGGAGCACCTGGTCGTAGCCGCTCAGGGCGACGCAGAAGATGATGGCTGTGACATCCTCAAAGCAGTGGATCCACTTCTTGCGCTCCGACCGCTGCCCCCCGACGTCGAAGAGCCTGCAGGGGCAGGGGGAGAGCAGCATCAGCATCATCCTGCCTTCCTGGGGAGGGAACTGCAGCAGGGGAGGGTGTTTTCTGAGCTCGCGGGTCCCCCGGGAAGGCTCCGCGCACAAAGCGACGGGGCTTTAGGCACCGGTTTGGGCTTGTCCTGAGGGCAAGCAGGGGGAGCAGGGACAGGGAGGGGTGTGGAGATCTCTGGGAGACCCTCAGCAGTGTGTTGGGTCCCAAAGGGGCTGTGGAGGGGGAGGCCACGCACTCCTGGCTTGTGTGTGCTCTAAATACTGAGTGTGCGGCTCTCGTAGCGTCACAGTTATTTGGGTTGGAAAGGACCTTCAAGATCATCCAGTTCCAACCCCCTGCATGGGCAGGGACACCTCCCACCAGCCCAGGTTGCTCCAAGCCCCATCCAACCTGCCCTTCAACACTGCCAGGGATGGGGCAGCCACAGCTTCCCTGGGCAACCTGGGCCAGGCTCTCACCACCCTCACACCAAACAATTCCCTCCTCATGTCCAACCTCAATCTCCCTCTTCCAGTTTTAATCCCTTCCCCCTTGTCCTCTCCCTCCCTGCCCTTGTCCCAAGTCCCTCCCCAGCTTTCCTGGAGCCCCTTCAGGCACTGGAAGGTGCTCTAAGGTCTCCCTGGAGCCTTCTCTTCTCCAGGCTGAACACCCCAACTCTCCCAGCCTGGCTCCAGAGCAGAGGAGTCTTTATGTTCTCTCCTCTCTACTGGCTGGCACCATGAGGGTCGATATCCAGTGTTAACCACAAGTGATCGACTCACTTGAGAGGAAATATTTGACCAAATACTTCTATATTGATGCACTTGACCAGCCCTGGGGCCAATGTCAGGTGATACCTCCCAACTGAGCAGTGTCATCGAGCTTAGAAGAAGGTACCATGAGCTCCTATCTTCAAGGCAGTGATTTTCAAGACAAGATCACCCAACATTCCACCCCTAAACACCACGTTCTCTGCAGTGGGAACCATTTCTGTCTTAACCAGCAACTCTAACAATTCCTCCTTGGGGAAAATCCAGGGACCAAAAGATGCCCTGAACATCGAGCAGTTGGTGCAGGTTTTGGACCAACCTGAAGTGGAGGTTTTTGAATGTGAAGTGGGTTTCTACAATGCCAGTTGTTTTGACCCTGGTTCTGAGGATGTCCTGCTCCGTGGGCTGATAGTCTGCAGCTCCAATCCGATCTAAGCTGTCTAGGTAGCTGAGAGAAAGGGGAAAGACAAAGAAAAAAACAGATCAGAATCAGACACACGTTCATCTCTGCCCATCTCAGATCCTTCAGCTTCCTATTCATCTATTCCAACCTCATTTTTTTTTTCCCATGGCTGAACGTGTTGTAGTTAAAGAGGGGAGAAAACAAATCTTATCCTGGGGAGACAGGAACAAACCCCAGCAACCTGAGCACAACCATCTGATAGTGACCTGCAAGCAGGAAATGAAGGGTGTGCTCTGAGCCCTGCCTGCAATCTGGTGGGAATGCACAGGTTTCATATTCCTGGCTATTTTTATTCCCTGAGGGACAAAGGTCTCACTCAAGGCCATTGTGCTGGAAGCTGTGCCCACACACAGGGTTTTCTGGAGGGGTTTTGTTCAGATTAAGAGGTTGGAGCACACACAGGTCTTGCTCCCAGACCAGGCAGGTGGAGTCACCTTTGGGAGATGCCTCTGTCTCTGCTGGGGAGGGAGGGAGACAGAGCAGCTTGTTCCAAGGAGGCTCCTTGACTTCCACCAGCTCAGATGAAGGAGCTGGATCTGCTGGGAGGACTCATGGCTTTGGTTTGAAACACAACACAGGGCACAATCCAGAGCCCTGCTTAGGTGGGGGCTTTAAACCAGGGTTTTTGATTTGGGATGGAAGAGGAGAGAATGAATTTTCTTAAACACTTGTCTAGTTTTCAAACCTTTGCCCCTTTTCTGCTCTAAGCTAAAAATCTGTGAGCACAGGCAACATCTCCACGGGCTGAGATTTTGGATGGGAAGCCCTGCCTTGAGGGGGTGACATGTTTTTGCAGCAGCACGTGGCCACAATCCATGTTCTCAGCCATATTTTTTCTTTTCCAAAGCAACTCAGCCCAACCAGCCACAATTTCTAAAGAGAACATGAGAAGGGGAAGCTCAGCTGGGATGCTGTGGGAATGCTGGGCTGGGCTGAGCTGCTGCAACCTTCTCCTTGGTTCCTGCTGGAGGCATCTCTCAGGCTTCACCCAGCTGTCCCAGCCAACAGGCTGGATGCCACCTCATCCCCTGGGAAGCTGGGATCTGTTTGACCAAGCAGAAGCAGGAGGTTCCTGGGTGGCAAAGGTGCTGCCACCAGGGCTTCTTCCCTTGCTCAGCCCCAGGGTTTGCACACTGGGTTGGAAGCCAATCTGAAATGACACCTCAGCTCTTCTCTGCAGCCTGCCCAGCCCAGGGCTGGCAGGGGTTAAGAAGAGCTGAAGGAAGGTTAGAAGGCTTTTGGAGTCCACCAATAACCCTCCCCAGCCCAGCAGCTCCATTCCTGCCCATGTCTCTTAAGCTAAATGCTTTGCTTGGAAGCAGATTGCAGGTTTCTGAGTCACCCAAGGAGGGGGGTGAAGCCCGACTGGATCAGGCTGCTGGAAGCAAAATGCAGAAGAAATGGCCTTTCCCAAACACAGGGAAAGGAGCTCGTAGAGCTGAGGCCCCCAGAGGCAGATGCCTCTGCAAGGACATGAAACATCTGCAGGCAGGAAGATTGGAAACAGGGGGGGGAAATCCAGTTTCTGGTGCCTTCATTTGCTGTTTCCAACAGTGTGTGGCAGCAGCACCATGGGTGCTGGGGACACTGGCACTGCTGTCCCATGGGAACAGGCTGCTGGCATCCTCGTCTCTTGAGGTTGATGGCAACAAAATGGTTTGTTGGGTTGTTCTTGCCTCAAAGGTGACATCCTGGCAGGCTCTTTGAAAGCCTCATCCAGCTCCCACTGTGCTGAGCCTGAACTTCAGTCCCCAGGGCTCCAGAAGCTGTGGTGCAGCAGGGGGTTTGCAGCAGGGCAGTGGGATCTTCAGGAGAAAAGACCTGGAAGCATCAGCAGCTTCCCAGCTGCTCCTTCATCCTGCCAGGCTCTGCCCATTGCTCCTCCATGGAGGAAGGGCTGGGTGGGGGACACCCCAGCCTTGTCACCTTGGCTGGTGGGGTAGTGGAGTGAAAAAGCAGCTGCTCACTTGTCAGCAGATGCAGCTGAGTCACTGCTGGGTTATTTCCCACAGCAGCACCCCAGGGTCAGCTCCAACATCATGTCCTGGCAAACGTTGGGTTTTGATCAGGGTTGTCACCAGCAGGATCTCATCTGAGTCCAGATGCTGGTGTGAAGGTGTCTCCACTCAACTGCTCCTTCCTAGTTCAGGGGTGGAAATGGGCATTTCTAACACCTGTTGGCAGCATCTGACCTCAGCTTGGAGCCCAAACCTTCCCTTCTCCTACTGAGCAGCAAAGAGCTGCATTTACATTTAGCATCCCACCCATGTAGTGTTTGGTGTCTGTGGAGTGAGTGCTGGGCTTGGGAGTGTCAGGAGTGACTCTACAAGAGCCCAGGAAACTGCTAGCCCCTTCCACCAGGTTGTTTTAGGAGCAGGGGGGAACAAGCCCCCCCAGCCCAGAGCCCAGCTCACCCAGCACACCCAGCACACCCAGCAGGGATGAGCCACGAGTCCTACACAACCCTCAGTTAAGAGACACATGTAGCCAAGCATGGTGGCCCCTCAGCCATCAGTCCCATCCAGGGACAGGGACCACGACGTGCTGGTGTGGGCACAGAGCCCTCCTGTCCTCCCAGGGGAAGCCAGAAGGTGCTGGGTGCTGGCTGGATATTAGCTGGACTATTTGCTGAAGGAAACAACAGCAACAACAACAACAAAAAGGACTTCCCAGCTCTCCACAGACTAAAGGCTTTCAAGCAGAAGACAGAGGGCTCAGGAAGCAAGAGATCAAAGCCATTTTCCAAAGGTTGTCTTCATTTATGTTGAAAAATGGGGGGGTTTTAGTTAAGCTCATGGTTGGTTTGGGATTTACCTCCTCACCTCAAACACTCCCAGGGGGGTCTGGAGCCCTCGTGGCTGGAGCTTGGCCAAAAATGGGGCAGTCAATAGCAATTTCTGAGCCCCAGGGCCAAAGGCAAGGTTGTTAGGATGGGACCTGGCAAGGAGAAAGGGCAGGTTCTCCTGCATCTTTGGCCCTGAGGAATGAACCACCTCTGCTAACTCCTCTGCTCCTCCCTGCAGTGCAGTCTGTGTTCCCTTCTGAGCCTCTTCAGACAGACCTTGGAGAAACTTTTCGGGGTAAAGGAGGATGAGGAGGGGGGAACTGACAAGACTATAGCACCAGTTTTTGCCTGCAAGATCTGAGCTGAGCTTCTCCTCTTCATGGATGGAGCTAAGAGGAGGGGTGATGGCATCTCAGATACCTTCCCATGGGCTGAGAGGGGATCCAGCCCTTCAGAGAGCAGCTGTTCACCTCCTGCTTCCCCTTCTCCTTCATTTTCTAAACCCTGTGATGTGGTCTCCACCCTGCTTTGGGCAAACATAGAGGCAGGCCCTGGAGACCCTGCACTCAGTTTGGGTGAAATGGGATCTCCAGATGGATGAAAACAGAGATTGAGAGGCTGGAAAAGCTCTGGCTGATTTCACAGACAGGATCTTTCCTCTGGAGCCCTCCCTCCAGCCCCCACTCAGCCCTAGGTGTAGCCATATGCTGGATTCCTTAATTTAGGAGGATAAGAACGAGGTCTCAGACCTCCACCCAGCCCTGTTAGACACTTCCAGGCTGATGTTCAGCCTGTCCCATCTCCCTGACCTTGCACTTCTCAGATCCAGACCCTTGAGCAGATGCTGTTGAGCTGCTCCTCCCTGGAAATCTATTTGCATCTCATCTGTGGGACCTGAGCAAGGCTGGTGATTCCAGGCACCCAGCTCTGGCCTCTGTGAGCTGGTTTGGTTTTGCTTATCAGAAGGGGAACTTAATTATTCCAAGCTGGGGGGGATATTTACCTCCAGGGGTAAATGAAACCATCAATTCAAACAGAAGTATCTTCGTCTCTGCTCCTGATGGATTTTCCATCCCTGCTTTATTGGTGCTTGGGCTCTGAGGCACAAAGGTGGGTTGTTCCATTCAAAGGGCAAGGCAAGTCATCCCAGTTAATTGGGTTGTTCCATTTCTGTGGCTACTCCCTCCAATGAAATGCCAGGGAGGCCCAGGGACAGGCAGGAGTGAGACGGGCAGGCTGAGAACCACATTGTAATGCAAAAGCTGTGAGGAGAAAATGGAATCTACTGCACCTGATGGGAATACCAATGCAAAAGCTTGACCTATAATTTTCCTTTCTTCAGCCTGAGAGAGCCAGCAACAATTGGAGCTCATTAAAACAGCCCATGTCCTGACATAATGCCCATGTCCTGCACGGGGAGGAACAGGAGGCCAAGCCTGGTGACCCCCTTCCCCATTTAAACCCAGGGGCAGGAGAGAAAGAGTGAGGGAGGGGAAAAAAAAACAACCCACAAAAGACCAAGCCAAAAGTGCTGCTTTGGATTGGACCTCTGGAGTTCATCTGGACCATCTCCTTGTTCAAACAAAGGCCAACTTCAAAGCTGAACTCAGTTTGCGAGTTGGCTCAGGTGGCTCCGTGTGGAGTGTGACCAAGGATGGAGATTTTACAGCCTCTCTGGGCAGCCTGTTCCAGTTCTGCCTTGTCAGGGCTGAGCCTGGGAGCTGCTCACCACATCCCAACAACATCTGGCTCTGCTTGAACCATTTGCTGGGTGCAAAGTGTGTGTGTTGGTGTGTGGGATGCAAGGAGAACCAGCAGGGGAGGTGACACCACCGTGCAAAGACAACTCCTCTGCAAGGAGAAGAGATCAGAAAACAGTCCCACACCAGAGAGGGTGAGAAGGAAAGCCCACGGTGGTATTTCACTCTGAGTTTGGTGTCACTTTTCTGCCAGGCAGTGCCAGAGGAGTTCTTGGAGATGGAGCAACCAAAGCGTTGTCCAGTTTGGGCTTGATATTGATATTGATAGTTAGAGCAGCAGACTCAGTGGCATCTCCCTTTCTCCACTGAGCAGTGAGGTCTGTGTCCCTCCCTGGAGGCATCTCTCCCTCCAGAGAGAGCCAAAGGCAACAAGCTTCCCAGCCCTGACACCTCTGGGATGTGTGAAGATGGATGGGGTTGAATTCAGGCCTAAAATACTTCACATTTTCACAACAGCTTCACAGCCCTGGCTGGAACCAACGAGCTTTCCATGTGCTTGAAGCAGGAGGAGAATAACTTGAGATGGGTTTTGGCTTTTATTTTTGTGTCTGTGTGCTTGCAAAGTGTCTCTGCCTAGACATCTTGTTTGGATATGCAGATGAGAAACCAGTGCTGGATGCTCTGTCTGCTCCATTCCCT